AAGCATTTTCAAAATAACTATTTAGAACTGATCTAATTTGGGCACTGAAAACATGAGAGCCTATGACTGTGTAAATAAACTGGTGATTTTAGGTTCCATAGAAAGAATTTCACAACAAATATTTTATAAATCAACTCACTTCACGTCTCCAACAAGACATAAAATGACAGTCTTTTGAGGAGCTAATAGCCAGCTTCACAAATCACATTGAGCTAATGTATGAAAATGCTGTCATAAAATCATGGTATCAGTGTAAAGCAGTGTCATCATCCCAAGATAACAAGGTAATCTACTCAAGCAGGTTTGGGCCCTTTTACCTTTTGGGGCAGATCTTTCATCCTAGCAGAAGCAATGATCTATTTGGCCTCAACAATCTTTCTCAATGTCTTCCACCAGCTTTTCTAAACCTTCAGCCAGCTCAAAACAGCCAGAAATTAAATGGTGAGAGAAAGAGAGAGAGAGAAACAAGTGTCTTCAAATGCAAAAAACCAACTTTTTGAAAGGTTTTTTTTTTTTTTTTCCTTACTTGATCAGCTCTCACCAAGACATGCTACTTCAAGGTCTTTCTTGATGATTTATTAAGTGCATAATCTTAAACAAATATCTTTTCTCCGTGACAGAGGTATTTCTCAGTAAAATGAGTAAATCAGATCAGAGAATTGGCAGGGTCCTTTGCGCCTCTGAAAATCCTATGATTCCACAGTAGTCTGGCTTCATAATCAGTGTCTACAAAGCAGCCATCACATCCCTAAGTCATGCCAGCAGGGAGTCCACTGTGTGAACTTGGTTGTTTAAAGAGCAGTTGGATGAAGCTCACTCTTCAGTCAATTAACTTTGACCTTCAAAGTAAGTGTTTCGCTTTATGGGAGCTCCAAAGGCGACTGAGTTGGTGAATTGTCACCCTTACCATCATTTCCTACTTCTATGTTCTTTAAGAAGAAACCAATGCTCAGCTATTGTTCCTAGGAAGCTTCCTCCTGATCAAAGCCAACCCAGCCAATTCTGCTCATCGCTAGTTGCTGTGAGCTCTATTCAGCCATGGGCTGGATTGACTTTCATTGCTAAGGGTCAAAGATCATTTGTTTCACGAGTAGAACACCCCACGGATGAAAGTGGGACAGAAAGAATAGCAACACAACTGGAAAGAATTAAGTACAGCCTTACATTATTGGAATGCAGATTATGTTGGGGGGAAAATGGAACATTTCCAGCTCTCTACACTTGAACCTAAACCCCCTACAGTGTCAGGAAATCAGAAACTTAAACTGTCACAAGAAATATAATGAGCTGTAAAGAAAGCCCACACTACTTATCAAGCAGAAAGCCCTGCTGGCTGCCAATTCCTTAAAAGGAGTGTGGTTTTAGTCACAAAATTTTGCATAAGACTTTAGAACAAAACAGTCCTAGTGGGTCAAATATATCATTTTCTCATGGGTTAACACCAAACTTGATCACTGTCTAATGTCACCCAGGGTAAAGGAGCTGCACACACCGGAGTGGATTAGCTGGAACATGAAACAGAAGGGAGGAACACAAGTCGTTAACAAAGAAGCAGAGTCAATGGAGTGAACAAATGTGATGCTTCCACTATGGGATGGGCCATGTGAGCCGTTAATTTTGAGGTTACAGACAGTCCTGAAAACCGAAGGAAAACAATGCTTTTGAAGTCCAAGCCTAAAATCTCTCGTGACATCCAGAACTTCAGAGGAGAACATGTATTAAGATAAGTCAGCTAGAAGTCAGCTAGAACCGTGTGTTAGCAGGAAGCCCACCAGAGAAACACACAGTCACTCTCGGACCAGCAAGGAAGCTTTTGGCCAGCAGCCCTGCACTTTGCCTTGGCCAGTATCATCTCCTGGATGGACCTCTTTGAGTCCACTTACAGTTACTTACCATTCACACCCCAGCCCAAGGTCACTAGTGGCCCATGTAAGTGCCCTTCCTCTCCTCTACCTGTTGTCCTCACTCTGTTCACCAGGACCCATTGCTCAGAGTGGTACCCACATGTACAGGACACTGCCTGTACCACTGTACCAATAACCAGACACGTATACCCACACACGTACACATGCACGCACATGTTTATACACACGCATACACATACCTCTAACAACAACCACGAAACAACTAGGTAACTAACATAGCACCTTCCTACCCCAGAAAAGACCAATACTACCTCCATATCCTTCTAGCCCAGCTGTGACAGGTAGGACCACAGTTTTCAGGAAAGTGAAATATTATGCATCACAATATACACATCCCTTTTAGAAATCAACACGATTTGCACCTTAAAATTGAGAATCCCTCCTTTATTCTTCAGAGGCAATATATCTCACTGAATTCAGAGGTCAAAAACCAGATGATAAGGGAACTGAAGAAAGTCACCATAATCCGAGGTTCCAGAAAGCCAGTTACACACTTACCCAGTATGTTCCTGACATCAAAGGTTAAACGTTCTTGGAAACAATGAGAAAACAGGGAGAAAATCAGAGGTGAACTTTTGATTTGGGCAGAGATACTGGGTATTACTTTGGCGCTGAGCTATTATCCTGACCCTCATTAAATTTTTTATTATGAGACAGGGTCTCACTAAGTAGCTAAATTGCCTAGGCTGGGCTGAAAGTCACAATTGTGCTTCAGCCTCCAGAGTGCTGATTCTACAGGCTGGTACCACCATGCCCTGCCTCACCAAGGTGCCTTTCAAATGAGCGGCTCTGTACTCTGAGAAGCTAGCGCTTGCTTTCAGTTTGTTTTCCACAGTGCTGCATTCAAGGGTTACCCAGGTGCTTTCTGGGAAGAAAACCACACACTACCCCATAATTCCACTATGGGATTTCGGGCTGCCATAATGCCTCCACTCAAAAGGTAGACCAAGGCACTGTCCTGGAGAAAATTAACACTGGCTACTCCAGCTTCATCTTGCAAATTCAGCAAATACCTTTGGAATACATTTTTATGTAGCTAAACACATATTATTTTGTAATATTTTGAATTTCCATTGATTAGAAATCTGTAACACAATGAATCCATATACAAAAACAGCCAAACTGACATTTCCCCCAAACTTTTTCTGTTACACAAGCAAATGAACGGCATCTTTCAAATGGATAATTTCCTCTTAAGATCTGGAAAGAAATTTCATTTTAATTTAACACAGTTGCTCAAAATTCTGTTTCATATGACTGTCATTTTTTCCTGTTTTTTTTTCCTAGGTCTACCCTTGGAATGACAGAAAATACATACGACAAAACGTATAAAGCATTGGCTAGGCCTGCACCTCCTCCTAGGAGAACAGGAAAGGTAAGTGAAAATTGGAAGTCCCTGTAGATTTATTTTTTAAGCATTAAAAGCAGATATTTTTAAATGCATGGAGCCCTGAAGTTCCTTCCCCCAACTCCTGCAACAAAATTCCCAGTTCTGTATTTTCTACTTTTAAAAGGAAGGGAAAGATAATAAGAAAACTTAAATGTGGAGAAACACAGAAGTTATTTAAATATTTAACTTTCTATTTTCAATGCCACTTGAATTAGACAAATCACTGTGGTAAGAGTAACGAGAAAATTATGGTGGGAAGAAAAGTGATTATCTCTCAAAACACACTTCCCACCAGAAAGGATCACACTGAATTAAGCTCAAATGATTTGCACTCGGGCTTCTATGAATGAGACCCTCAAAAGCAAGCATCTAGAATCAATTAACAGGATTTGCACATTAACTTAACTGAATCTCAAGAATGGTTTAATACCCCCTATTTGAATCAACAGGCAGAAAATTAAAATTGGATTGCTTCCTGGTGTTTCAGTGCACAGGGGGAGACACTGTAATCTGTTCTCTTTACAACACTGGTGATGTATATCAAACAATGCTGAGATTTTTAAACACAAAAGGACATAATCCAGTTGTAAAAGCTACTTATATATCCAATGAGGAATAACGACCCCAGAGAAGGAACTTCAGTATTACCTGAAACAAACAAAGTAAAAAACAAGAAAAATGCAGATACAAGATACACACCAGCAGAGGGAAACCATCACCTTTAATGAGTAAACTGTAACACAGAGCCAGAGAAACCCAAAAACCCCACTGGGCCACCATCAGCACAGCACGTTCCCTGATGTCATGAGCAGCAGACATTAAGCTTCAGAAACAAAATTAGACATGTGTGTGCCTCTGCAACACCCAGCATACCACAGGAAGGTAGGCCAGAGTACCATGAAAACAAGCTGACCCCTTGCAGTCACTCCATAGATGTTCCCACCGGACTCTCATTCGCAATCGGTTTAGAAACAACACACATTCACAAAAGAAGCCATTTAATCGTTTCCAACATTCAAATGACAGGAGCTGATTCTCTAATTGGATAAATTTTACACTAAATCCCTGCCAGAGAAATAATTCCTCACTCAGTCAAGTAATAACTCATATCTTCTCGAGTATTGTGAAGCAATTAAATTCCAACATGTATTTTACAAGCCCAGATGTCAAATTCTTCATCGAGAATACCATGGAGACCAATCTATGCCCTGATAGGCATGATTTTCACTTATTCTTTAATTAAGCAAATTTCTTTTGCTTCTCCCAAATGTTAGTGATTAATTTAAGTTCTAAAAACTACATCGATCATGACCTTCCCATTGGCACAATCCTACAAGATTCTGTAGGAGCTTTCAACTGCAGAACACTGGTTTTATGATCATACTGTTTCCATACTAAAAAATAAACAAGTACGTAATATCATAAACACTTCCCTTCAATCCATCTGTTTATCTTCACAAAATAATGGTATTTGCCTTGGAATCAAGACATTTATATCCTATCAAATCGACAGTAATGAATACCAGTAACAGTGCAACTAGAAGAAACCCCATTTTCTCTTTTTGAATCATCTTACACACTCCCACTCAGTAGAATACAACTAAAACGCCCACATTTCCTTTGTCTCCCAAAAATAGCCAGCCTTGTGCGGGGAAGGTGTTAAACAATGAAGATCAGACGCCTACCTTCGCTAGTGGCCACATTCTTTTGGGCTTTGGTGGGCGTGTGATCCGTACTGGAACTCACGTCGGATGAGATGCTTGAGCTGCCTTTGCCTAGGGAAAAGAAGAATGAGCAGGATTTCAGTTTGGTAATTTCAGAAGTGGACCGTGCCTTCCTCTGGGGTCCCATACCAAGCCACATCATTTATTTCCAGGAAAGGAGCTCTGATATCAAGAATGGAGTTTATTAAGGTTTTTTTTTTTTTTTTTTTTTTTTGCCTAAAGCATTAAATATCTTTGGAGAAACAATCTGATCTGTGTTATAGCACAGCTAAAGACCTCTTATAACATGGCTTGCCTATAAACCCAAACAAGATTATAAAACATAGTCAAATATGATAGCGTAGTTTCCTATTGGCATGCATGTGGGGAATGCATCTACTGCATTAGCTTTTTATTTGCAGCTATAAACCATGCACTTCTCAGTAAAGAAAATGAGCAAATCTAAGGAAGCATTATCAGAGGAGCATGAGCTTTCTGGCTCCATGTAGCTACACCACATTAAGAAAACAAATTCCATGTTTTAACAGAGCTTTCTTTAATACAAAAACACTTCATTTTTCTTTTGCAGTGGTTCTTAGGGACAATCTTTCCATCGAAGGGAACATCTGGCAATGTCTGGTATTAGTTCTGCTTGTCACAACTTGGGCAGGGTTGCTGCAGGCATCTGCTGGGCAGTAGCCAGGGGCCTGCTAATCACCTCAGAATGCACAGGACAGTCACCCAATGAGATTTATTCCATCTAAATGTCAGTAGTGCTGAGGTTGACAAGACCCAGTCTTAGCATTTTAGCTCAAGACTAAGTTTCTACTCTCTAAACTTCAACATAGTCATAGCCCTTGCTACTGATCGATAAATATTCTCCAAAGGTCACATCAATGTCTGTATATTCAAACTATGCTTTACTTCCTGTTGTAATCAGGGCAATTACAATCAGGACACAGAATTTATAATATTATTTTATGATGGTCACCCAGAGTTAAACATAAAAAGTGCAGGAAATCTGTCCACAACACTAAGACTCAGAATATTTAGCCAAGGGCCTGGATCCCACAGCACTGCTCTGAGTGAGGAGCTGAAGACCTAGAGCCCATGACAATGCCACCCACGAGTCCAGCTGGAGGTCTAAAGCCCATGACAAGGAATCATGCCAGTCTGTTTTTTGGATCTGCTCTGGGAAGGCCCAAAGGTCAGTGGTGGAGGACAGAAAGTCTATGCTAGCGGGGTGAAGGAGCTGTGCTGGTAGGTTGAGGGTTCTACACTGGAGCTGAGAAGTCATGCTCAAAATAAAGACCAAGGCTGCCCTGAAAAGTACCTCCGTCATCCTCAATGACAAGGAGGTCCCGAGCTCTTCCTATGATGAGAACAGTAGAATACATGCCAGAAAGCCAGGGTGACATGCTTCTCCTCAAAATTAAACAGCACACATCTTCCCCTCCAGAGCCAGGAAGCAATGCTCAACGTAAAAAAGCAGAGCTCATAGGGGCTGGGGAGTTAGCTCAGTGGCATAAGCACCTGCCTGGCAAGCATGAGGTCGCGAGCTCAATCCCCAGCACACAAAAAAGCCAGAGTTTGCTCACACAAGTGAACCACAGCCACACTCACTGACAAGGTCCAAAGCTCCTCCGATGATAATGATCAAATTCATATGGGGGAAGCCAGCTCCTCCTGGAGAACCAATAGCTCAAAACAGCAACACTTAGGAAAATCCACAATGCCTAACTCATCTTCTCCAAGTCTCTGTTTATGCTGGCAACTTTCCTCAGATGAAACATTTACACTCAGCACCATGCTGATTTAATTCTGCTGGTGTTAAGTTGACCACCAGTTTAATCCATAGCACTTCCCAAAGAGAGAAGCATCTAATAGCTACGATGGGCAGAATTCAAAGATGCCCCATGGTACCCATGTCTTTGTAACTTTGTATCATCTTCTTCCCTTGAGTGTAAGCAAGCAGAACGTGTAATTACTGCTTAATTGACCTTGAACCAATACAATATGGCAAAGGTGAGGGGATTTTTGCATCTGTAATTGAAGTCCCCAAGGAGTTGACTTAATCACCTGAAAGTCATGGATGTGCCTGAACTAATTAGGGGAATGTTTTAAGAGGATCTAACAGAGACAGCTTCCTCTTACTAGTCTTACAGTCCAACCACCTTGAGTGCTAACACCTCAAGGAAGTGAATTCTGCCAACCAGCATGTGAGCTGGAAAGAGGACTGCAAGGCTTGGATAACAGTGCCTGACCATAGCTCCAGGAGACTCTGCAGAAAAGACCCAGTTAATACATGAACAGAATTCTGTTACAAGGAATCTTTGAAAGAATCCAGTGGACCTTGAGTTATGCCACCAAGGTGTGGTATATTTTTATGCAGCAACAGAAAATTAATGTGGTGACCAATTCATTCCTCACAGCTGAACTCTTAACCCCACACATTGTGATTAGAATTCTAACATTCACATTGGAAATGCTGTTTTTCATGGTCTGACCTGCCAAACAGCACATGCGATGGAATCAATGTTCACATTCCCCCAGCATTCAAACATTAAAACTTAACCCCACAGAGATGGTACTAGGAGATGAGGACTCGGTGAAGTAATTAGATCATGAGAGTGGAGCCCTTATAACAGAACCTCCTGCCCTCATCCACTGTAAAGACACGATGAGATGGCTGTAAATGAAACACGCAGTTGCCCTCAGCACTGAACCTGCCCTCAAATTGATCTTGGACTTCCTGGTCTCCTGAACTGTGAGGAATTAACTTCTGTTTTTATAAGCAATCCAGTCTACAGCATTTGATTACAGTCATCTGAGAGCGCTATGACAGTACACAATCACAGTTAGGTGGAAGATGCTTAATTTCTGAACTCATAAGAATAGAAAAGCATAAACAGGCTGGGATTTTAAAGAGCTTCAGGACTTTGCTAACTGATGTTGAAAGTTATGGAACAATTCAAACTCATGGATAATATCACTAGAGCAGACCAGTGGATGCTGTCTCCTCTCACGACTGCCCCAGATTCATTGTGGCATACGGCTCTGAATCAAATCTGTTGTTTCCATCATCTCTCCCCATGCACAGAGGCCTCCCTCCGAGTTTGCTAGCGTGGTGCACTAATCCTCCATACTATGCTGTAGTCAGCTCTTGGTCCGGCACTAGTTGCCACGGCTCCCATTTGTAGGTGGGTTGTCAGGGTGGGCTGGGAACTGGTGTGTCCATCTGATCTCTGCCCCCACCTACTTCTCTGCTTCTCAGTCTTGGGCATTCAGTTCTCCTCCTAAAAGCCCCAGTGCCCACATCTGGTAGGGAATACATGATTCCTAAAGGCTCAGTCTATGATTCTATGATCTAGCATTACTCTTCAAAACTGAGTAAAACAAATGCTTCTAACAGGGCAGAAAGCATCGCTGTGCACCACCAGCATATCCACTTAGCTTATTTTAATTGTATTATTGCTCAGTGATGTGCAAATGGAAAACTAGAAATAAAATCCATCTGTTCTAGCTCTGGTTCAATGAAAAAACTAAAACAAAAGAAAAAATTAAGCACAGAAACAATAAAACCCGTAACATTCAAATTAGCAGCATTAATTTAATGTGAAAGATGATGTTATTTTGCAATTCTTCAATAACTTGTCTTTCAAAACTTCAGCCCAGCACTGGCTGCTCTGAAAGCCAACATTCTTTCCGACTGGCGTGTCCGTGCTCCCCTGGACCAAGGGGCGACTCAACCCACAACCTGCAGGCCGGTTTCCTCTGCTGAACGCAGGGAGGCCTTTTTCCTCCAATGAAGTGACGCATCACTTGACCTTCATTCAGTCCCTGTCATTCATATTTTTAAGCCAGTTCTTTGCTTCCTTAGCCCAACCATTGAAAACACAGCGTCTTCCTCAGAATCTGGGAACTTACAATAATGAAATCGTGTGGCAGGGGTTTGTTATAAAGGAGAATTAGTATGCAATTACTGTTTCTTAATTTTCAGTAAACACATAATTGCACATATTCATAATTGGTTTACCATTCACATACATGTACAATGACCGGGATAAATGCTACATCCATATCTTAATGTTTATCATTGCTTTGCGTGGGGAACATTCGTTATGACAACCAAGTTGAAATCACCAGAGAAGACAGGTTTCTGAGGAAATTCTCCGACATCCCTGAGAACCTGGGTATACACCACCACTCTGAGGACCAGAAATTAATAAATCCTGCCTATTAAGAAAGAAAATAAAGTTGAGAGCACAGTATTACTGGTGTTATTCACACCATGAACACTGAATATACAGTGTGTAGAATACTCGAATCAAATATTCACATGCTTCTTCTTATTAAATATCCACCACGCCACACACCAGCAATTCTAGATCTTTTTTTCATTATTGGCCTTCTCCCACCAAGGAAACTTTAAGAGGAGTTGGTTTTTTTTTTTTTTTTTCCCCTAATTATCTCGCCCAGGGAAACTGTAACATTGAAGATATGCTGCGTATCTGGGTGTATGTGTGCTTCATACTTCCAAAAGGGTAAGGTTGCTTTTTACTTCCCAAAAACAGTTCTTTTGTACAAAACAGTACTGCCTTCATTGAGAGCAGAGTCTATGTTTTATTGATAAGTAAATTTTTCAGTTGCCTGAACATTAAATCAAGTAAATAACTAAGGAAAGCAAGAAGAGTTGGTTCTCATTATTCAAGGTAGTCAGGTTATATAAAGACACAGCACACACTGAATTAGTGAACTGTGAATCCTTGCACTAAAAGAAAACAGAAAGACAGGTCCCCTGTGAGCCTCCAAGCATGACAGTGTCTTCAAATGAGCTAAACATAACTTTGTTTTATGTGTTTCTCTTCAGTGACATCTGACTTTAAGGCATATTTTAGATTCGTTAATCCTAAAATTAAAGCCAGCATCATGGTAACTCACGCCTGAGAAGAGCTTATCTACCGCGTATAGGGGACATCACAGCTTCACAGTAGGGGCCTTCAGGAGCACGAGACGGCTTTTCTGCACTGCGCCTGGCAGTCATTTCAAGTAGCAAAATCGCCAACAAAAAG